CGATGGGGTGAGTGTTTTTACTGTTACACAAGTTTGATTAGAACATAGCGATATTTTATTTCACTTGTGCATAGTCCTGTCAGAGCTACTTTTTTTACATATAAATGTATATCCTTCTGAGAACTGAGGGGAAAAAAAAGTGTCTTTCAGTTCAGCTCATTTTGTGCACTACAGTGGACATAATTAATAAGCTGGGTCTCAGGAGGATATTTTCAGCTGTGTGAATCTTTGCTGTGTATACATGTATTGTTTAACTCACATGGTTAAACTCTGTGCGTGTGTGTGTGGTTTAACTTGGGTAGAAAAAAGAAAACTGTGGATCAGTACATTTGTCCATTAATGCTGTTTTCTGTTTTGTCCCAGTCACCCAGTAACACAAGCAGCAATGCAACTTTCATGCAGGGTGACATCTCTCAGAATCCACAACTGCGCTTCTTCCAATTAGTTTATGGCATGACTGTGATCATCACGGCACTGTTTGCTACCATCAAAGCCTTCGTTTACACTAATGTCACCTTGAATGCTTCCTGCAAACTCCATGACACAATGTATAAGAAGGTACTGTAAAATCTCTGACTCATGGCTGTATACTTTCAAAGAAGCATCAATGTTAACTTGTTTAGTATACAAAGAGCACAGCGATTTCAAATGATCATGCTCAGTGGCAAGTAGTAAGCTGCCTTTTTGTTTTTGATTTCCTTTTTGTCACCTTGCAGATTATTGATAGTCCGATGAGTTTCTTTGACATGACTCCATCGGGCCAAATTCTAAATCGTTTCTCTAAAGATCAAGAGGATGTGGATGCTGAGATTCCCCCTCCACGTGGATGTTTTCTTGCAGTATTCTCTACTCATCCTGTACACCATAATGAACATTGTGGCTGTCTTTCCAACCCTGATGGTAGCTGTGGTTATAATGGGAGTCCTGTCTATCCTGCTCCTCTTGTGCGTTTGGTTCTCGTTTAGATTTAACTGGCATATTAGTTTAGTTGGAAATTTGAGCAATTCGCAGGTTGTAGGCTTCCATGGTAATGGTTACATGTTTTAATCAGTAGTTAAATGAATATTTAGCCATGACAAGTCTGTTTGTGATCCATCTGCAGCGTATTGAATAGGCACACATGTCAGATAAAGAAGATGGAGAACATCAGTCGCTCACCATGGATCTCTCACACCACCTCTTCCCTGCAGGGCCTCAGCACTATCCATGCCTACAAAATAAGAGACAAAC